ACATACGTTAAAAAAGAGCTAATTTAGCACCAAAAGCTGATAAATGTAAGACTTAGATTGGCCCTTGCGATGCCAAGGCCATTTCATAAAATATATCGCTAATTAGTATTTACCAAATCAGTGAATAGCAATTTTCGCGCGTTTTGATTGGCTGCCGTAACTCGGAATATCCTTGGCTATTCTAAAAAATACTGAAACGCCTGATCGTAGTTTACCTTGAGACATTCATAATTTTCCTGTGGTTCTTTCTAAAGGCCATAGCCGAGTCTGTTAGCGCCACAAAAGCCTGTTCCAGGACTTCAGATGTGGTGGGACGGTACAAAGAAAAGCAGCAGAAAAAAAGCGTTGGAGGCTGAGAGAGAAGGGGAAGAAACCCTTCTCTCTCCCAATTCCTTTCTTTCGCTTTTTTCCCCCTCCGCTCTATTTTGCGCCACTCTCCACTGTCTGAACACTTGAAACAGGCAAGCGCCACACGTAACGCAGCGATCCACAAAGAAATATTTTTTATTCCTCTACACAAGGAACACAAAGATTTTTAGAGATTCCAGAAGCAGTTTAAAACCTTCAGGGCGTTAGAGGAAATGATAAAGAGTAGAGGCTTAAGACACTTTCCTCAATCAGAACACACGTTTTTTGTCAATATGAGTTTGACACAGTTATCCATGGAAACGGGATGCTAGCTATTCGATACTAACTACTTTATGTCAGTAGGCACACGCGCAGGACGACCTATCACGTGCAGTGGTTATATGGTGGTCTTACGTCGTATTGAGATATAATATACAACTATCCCCCGAAGGGGAGATGAATAGTGCTGGATATATATACCGAGACGCGAAGCGTCAAGGTATATATCTTGCGCTGTTCACCGACCCTGAGGGGGATAGTTGTTTTAGTAATTACCAAATCAGCTGGATAAAACAGAAAAAAAAGTAACTTTTTGAAATTAAAAACCTCTCTTGGTAGGAACTTTGTTAACAATTTACAAACATTTCGAGGATTTGTCAAGTGCATTTTACGATTTTGTTGCAAATTCAGCATGAATATAATTTTCTATCTAACCAGTGACCACCGAGAAGCCAAGTTCCTCGCTTTCTTGGTATTTGTTTGTACGACTGCTTCATTTATCGCACAAATTTCGTCTTCCGGAAATGTCTCTAAACGACACGCCATCTTGGCTCCGGTCGCAAAACAGTGAATAGAAGGGAAATTTCATTAACTGGTATGATACAGGGACCGCGCAGCAAGTTTTCGAGTGGGGGGGCTAAAGAAGAATGCGTGAAGGAAAATTTTGGGGGGAGCCGGGGGGGGGCATGCTTGTGGATTTCTATTCAATTTCTCTAAAGTGACGGAGAATGCGAATAACGATAAAACTATTGATTTTTTTCCACATCTTCAGTGATGTTGCTATCGGGTCTGAAAATTCACCATCACTAAATTGAAATATCATAGATTGTTATGTTATACTACTGATATCAACCTTTAATTACTATAAATAAGCCAGAAATCCAACGATTTTGCTTGAGCTGCCTTGAACTCAAGGCTGTATAATTACTGAGCAATTATTGCACGAGGCTGAGTATGATATGAAGAGTTATGCAGATCGAGGGGGTTATCCGCCAAAGCCGAAGGCTTGAGCCCGGTGGATAACACCCTCCGAGATCTGTATATCTTTATATCATACGAAAGCCGAGTTCAATAATTGTTTAATTATTCATTCAAAATATTTATACGGCAAAACAAGACGGTAACTGAAAATAATTTAGTGAATGATATTAAAGTTACTGTACATCATTTACTCGAAAAGTGCCAAAATTACGCTTTCTGCTTGTGTTGCGGTCGGCAAATTCGTTTGCTATGTCAATGGTGGAAAGCCTGTCCGTTCTTTCTTTGTGTATGTTTTTAAAAAACTGTCAGGTTACTAAATCGTTCCTGGTTCATTCTTGAACGGAGCCATGTTTTTAGCCTCCGGGCAGTCGAAAAGGATCTTTCACCGGCTGCACTGGTTGCTGGATTTACGAGAATCAGCTTACATAACGTGATAACTTCTTTTATCATTTCCCATTCTGGGTTGGGTAGCTCTTTAATTTTTATTATGATGTCGTCAAAACAAAGCACTAGCACTAGCACTGTGTAGTGCTAGTAACCTTCGCGCGAGAGAAAAAAGAAAGAGAACCACTGTTCAAGCAGACTCTCAAGGTCACGTTTCACATTATCACGTGCTTATGAGTCGTGTTTGGCCTGTCAACGCTTATTTCTTTCCAAAAATCAAGGTTGAAACTAATAAACAATTTGTTTGAGAATCGCCTTATAAACTAAACCCAGTTATTACTTTGGATCGAAATTGACCAATTACGAAACAACGCGTTTTGCTGAGAGGTCCGCAGGAAAAAGAAGCCATCTAAAAGACGTTTACCTCTGCTAGGGCGAAAAAATATTTTGCAATTGTAACGACTAATGCTTCATTCTGTCTATTTATCTGCGCGTTTGTCTTTGCCAGTAACTCTGGTCACTTTCGAATTAACGATTTTTTGCTATTTTTCACTCCGTTACTTTTGTTAAATTATTTTTTGTTTAATTTATTTTTATTCTTGCAAAAAAGTGGGGGGGCTAAAGCCCCCCCAGCCCCTCCCTCTGCGCGGTCCCTGTGATATTACACCACGTGCACTTTCCTGGAATGTGGTTGAAACAGTGGGTGTTCTGTCCGCTCGTCTGTTCACTACCTGACCATTTCAGTTAGACAATCATTAACCACATCACTTAGTGTATAGTTTGCTTTGTTGATAGGAGACACAACTTAACGCTCGCCCTGATGAATCGCATCTGCCGCTAGAACGTGTATTTGAGTCGTCATGATTTCCCAAATTCCCGACAGAGAGGGAAAAAGATCTCTCATGGCCGGGCACAAATTTTGATGAATCCCGCTTCCCGGGAAGCATTCAAATCCCGTTTCCCGCCAAGATATTTTGCGTTTTCCCGAATCCCCCGCTGTATTTTGGTCAAATCCCGGATCCCGAAACTGCCCTTCCAGACCCTGCTCCCTTGGGTAACAACTTTTGAAAGTAGGTTGAGTTTGATCGTCCGGGTGAACGTAGTCCTGAATAGGACTGTTGTTGTTGACAGTAACCTGTTTCGACAACCTGTGCGGTAGTCACCTTCAGAGTCAAAGTGGGTTGTATCACGTCAGTTGATGGTATTATACCTTGGTTATTGATCTGATTGGTCAATTACGTCGCGATGTTATTGGTCGTCTGTCAGTCAAGCCGTGATGTTATTGGCTATGAAGACTCGTAATCAGTAATTGGTGCGTTTCGATCCGTCTATTGTCACAGTTGAACAGTCGTCTATTGTCAGTCAAATTGTCAGTTCTGTAGTCGTTCTCTCGGAGTTGGTTTTTCTTGATCTCGTCAATAAGTCGTTTGTACGGCGCTGGTAACTGTTGGCTACGATTCAGTGGCGTTTGTTCTAAGTTAGTAAACCAGCTTTCTAAAGTAAGACGCTGATAGTTGTCTGTAGAATACGTTATACATGTCGCAGAGTCCCAGTCAATTTGATGTTTCGTCTGTAAATGGTGCTCATCAATGTGATTGTTGACGTCACCATTCCTCGTCGCTCGTTTGTGTTCGGTCAGTCGCGTGCTCAGGTTTCTGCCGGTTTCACCAATGTAAAAAGCCTGGCAGTCGCACCATTTGATCTTGTATACTGCTCCCTGTTAGTCGTCCGGTTTGTCTTTGTCCTTGACGACTGATCAAACAACGTGAAATAGAGTTAAGTTGCGATACTTAGACTGGCCAATACCATTCTTCATCATGTTTATTGAGATATCACGAATTTAAAGAAATATATATGAAGTAAAATAATGACCGGAAAAATTTAAAGATATACTATATCTAGTTACAGTTCATCACGTTTATTGATGCCCAAAGGCTCAATAGTCTTAGCTTCATGGATAAGGTGGGCTTCACGTGCTTTCCTGAAAGAATCACGCCAATTTTTAAGTTTTTCAATGGTAATCAAAAGCATATGATTGTCCAAATTGTACTTACAGCAGCTATGATCCACATGACAGTGCAGTGTATTACATGACAAAGATAGCGCGTTCAAAACCGCGGAGGAAAGACTTTCTGGAATATTTTAGGCTCAGAAATAACAAAACTAATTACCAGGGGAAATAGCCTTGTCAAAAAACTTAATTACCCCTCCTCAGCGTGAACGTAAGTGGAACTTGGAAGCGCATCGTTTGAGCATCCTTTCTTAGTTTGAGTCAAGAAGGAAAACTTAAGACTGCGTGTAAGAGATCAAACAATACAAACGCGAATCGAAGTTTAAATCAAACCTAATTAAACAAGAAGTAACTGAGATCGGTAGGTTCTTAATCACGACCACGGCCACTACAGTGCATGCTGCAAAGAAATTTGGAACAAAAACCTAAAATATTTAAGAAAAAAACTCAATTACCCCTTCTCATCGATACGGTGAGCATAAACTGAAGGGAACTTTCATTGGAAGCACATCGTTTGAGTAAGACGGAAAGGACTGCATGTGAGATAATTGTTGGTTTATAAATATATACCACATTCTAAAGATCGAACAATACAAATACGAAGTTTAAATCAAATTAAACTAATTAAACAAGAACTGACTGAGATCTATGCTATATTTATAGGTTCTTAGACTTCTTAATCCCGACCACGACCACTACAGTGCATCGAGTGCAAAGAACCGGCTTTGGAACAAAACGTAAATATTTAAGTAATGGGGACTCGATGCACTAAACTCTATGTTCTCCTTTAAATCTTCAATTTTTTCAAAAAATTCATCTCTGTTTAAGAACGAAAAGTCGATAAAATTTCAATTGAAATGCCTTTAAGGTTTCTAGGTGTGTTAAACGAATGATCATTAGACTAGCTTTCTCATGTAGCGTGCATATCTTTTCTTTAGAGAAATAATTTGTGCTGGTCCGACTGACAACGGGCACTGTTTGTAGCAAAAAAAGTTCATCATGCCTGTCCATAACATTTGAGTTTGCCTAATGTGTGATAACCTTCCTCATTTGAATGATCCAAGTCTCCCAGTCTGATCTGAGTCACAGGAAGAGTAGACTTGTCTGTCAGCAGACCGCTGTCCTCTCTCCAGCCGCTGCCACTGTTGTAACAATTACAATTGTTACCACTGGAGCAAGAGTTTGTTACTCCGCATGCGCACGTGTTGTTATATCCCGTAGCTCCACCCCAGTAGTTCATACGTGTTCCGTCACGTGACACCCACCAGGCACCATTACCCTGTTTAAATTGAACATCATTATTGCATTCGAACTTGATAAACTCTTCACAGTTCTTTGAGACTTGAGTAACTGCTGCCAACTGAGCGGTGCTAACTCCAGTGTAGGTCACATCTTTCCTATAACAACCTGCAGTACCACATCCAGGACTGACACTATTCACATGGGTTCTACTTTCGCTGTCGTGACTTATGACTGTCACGCCAACTGCTCCCTCGTCACTCATATCACAATACACACTGAACGGAGCCACGCCTCCTTTGCCATCAGGGTCAATAATATAACTACCTGAAGAGCTTCCACTGTGGCCTGATTTTATACTGCTACAGGACGAAGGTTTGTTGTACACTTCAACAACAGAAGTCGTCTCAACAGAACGAAGAGCGTTCTTGGCCACGCAAGTATATGTTCCGGCATCGTTTGTAACCACGCTCCTGAGGACCAGAGTTCCATTTAAATAAATAAAGTGGCTGTGAGGTAAGCCTTTTCCGGTTCTCTTCCACGTGATCTCTGTGTTACCTTGAGCGGCACAGTTTAGCACTAAGTTGCTTGACGGTGATACAGTGACTTTCCGGGGAGGAGTAAGGGTAAATGTGAGCCTGTCAATCACTATCAACTGAGCAACAACGGAGTCCTGTCCGAGTAAATTCTTTGCTGAACACACGTAATCACCCTTGTCAGTTTTAGCTATGTTGCGAATTGTCAAGTTTCCATCGACTACTGCAGTCTTCCCTTTCGGCAAGGAACCAAACGCTCTTCGCCACGTGATCGTTGGTAGTGGCAGACCAGTATGGCATGGTAAGATCACGTTTTCCCCTACTTCAGCGACAGTAGATGGGGTTTTTTGAGTGATTAAGGTAGCAACTGTAGATTTATGAACAAATGTACATGCAATTAGCCAACGAAAAAAATACGAGCGAAAACAGAAAATTCTGGGAAAAGGTGTCCGAATTTCCATGATAAGAGTCGAACATATTATTTATCGTTAGTTTTAGTCCAACTTCGCTTCTATTTGGTGCATTGGTGATGAAACTGATCATCACCATCAGTTGCCTGCGAATCATTACACTGAATCCGAGACTTGCAGTGGATAGTAGGATCAATAATTGATCATGGGGAATTTTTAAACCTGGACGACTATTTTCAAACGAATTACACTGGATTACATCTCCTCAGCGATGGTTTGAACAAATTGTGTTGTTGTATTCGATTTTCAAAATCGTTTGATAAACACAACAAACGACGTTGAGTGAGTGTCCCCGCGCAATACTTTTCGGTTGAAATGTTATTTGACAGCCAAACAATTCACAGTCGTCTTGGTGAAAACAATACCGTCGTTGCAGGCGTTTTTTTTCCTCTCTCCTCGCACGCCCGATTTCCTCATTTCTCTTCCCCTTTTAACTCCTCCCACGCAGGGTAAGAAGTAATAGACAGGTGTTACTTACTTAGACTTCGTTTCTTATTATTAATGGACAGATCTTGGCAGGTAACCTAAGAAACATAAAAATCACTTTCATTGACTAACAACATGGATTGAGTTCATTTTCGTTTTCGACGCTTTTTTCTATTAGCGGACGAATAAATAGATTTGCAGCAAAATTGCTCAGCGCAAATTTGATGCAAAAAAGTGCAAACTAAGGAATAAATCTGTGCAAAGGTGATAAATGCCACATTTTCATACCTGTTTACACCCCCGTGTTGAAATAAGGTATGCAAATGTGGCATTTACCACCTTTGCACAGATTCACTCCCTAGTTTTGCACTCTTTTGCATCAAATTTGCGCTGAGCAATTTTGCTGCAAATCCTTTTTTCCGTCCAGTAGGAGCAACAATAAAAGTGTTGAAAGGCCCCATGTCAAACAACACCAAAATTGCATTTTCCAGTAAATAAGCAACAAATGCCATTTTGATAAGAAATCTTTGCGTGAAGCAACCGTCCCAAATCGCTCCTAGCCACTAGATAAATATATTGCAAAAAAATTCACATCCATTTGATTAATATCAATGACAGTACTATAAAAAAAAAGTGCAATTTTGATGCTACCTTTTTTTTCAAAGGTGTTTAAGTGAATAATAAACAAACAACCGACGAGCTTAACATGAGTGTTTTCTAATCAAGGTGGAACCCTTCCGTCAACTTATTAATCATCGCATTGATCTCACAAAACTCGAAGTTTATATTAGCTTTCAAATTTCTCGCAGAGTATTTTTAGGCCTTT